TTTCTCAACGTTCAGGGGCCCTAAGCAACACCCTACACACATCAGACGAAATAATTTGTGTAAGAATGAAAAAACGAATACTTCATTCATTTTGTTGGGGTAAAAGTGGGGCAAAACAAATAGAATAATTGAATATATGAATTATATATATGTGTGACATATAGAGGGGCATAAAGCCCCCCAGCATTGGGCTGTGAAGCAGTGGAGCTGTGTTCTCTCGAGTGATGGAGCTCCATCCAATGCCTTTGGGATAAGTTGGAGTGATCCAGAGCTGATCATCTAACATCAGTACCTGACCTCACTAATGCTCAATCAAATCCTCACAGCAATGTTCCAACATCTAGCGTAAAGCCTCCCCAAAAGAGTAGAGGCTGTTACTGCAGCAAAGGAGGGACAAACGTCATAAGCAGGTGTCCACATTTTTGGACATATAGCATACAAATTATTAAAATGTATAATAATAATAACAATATTCTCTTACAGGTACTGTGGTAAGAGCAATATAAGGGTAAACACTGAAAAAAGTTGAGTGTTAATTGAAGATCATAAAATCAATCAAACAAATAAATGCAAAAACAGAGAGAGAATGTAATTAAAAAGATAAACGTTTTCAAACAATTTTAAAAGTGTGTGCTGAGCTTGGCTGTCTTCTAAAAGATGTAACTGAAATCCACAGTTTAGAAGCATAATAACATCAAGTGGCCTCTCCACATTTTCTGTATTTTAGCGAAGGAGTTTGAAGGCCAGCATCTGCAGATCTATCATGTGCTGGAGGCAGATAAACAGACACTCTGTGAGGTACGCAGGAGCTCTAAAGCCATTTAGAGTTTAAAAAACAAAGTAAAATAACTTTCAAATCGTATCTTACAGACAGAATCCAACAAATACAACATGCAACAGCTCATGTTGAACATTTTAATCAGAGTTTACATTTATCTATCAGTGCATGATACCATCATATCCCAGTGGTATCCATAATAAAATCTGAGGTTGCTAAGGTGAAAAAGATGGCCCCTTAAGTTTACATTACTTGCCTATGCTATGTCATTATGTACCTTTAAAGATGATATACAGCACTGGCATAGTTAAAGCAAATGCAGTGTAAGTCAGAACTGTAGTGTAGAGAGTCGTCTTATTAATCTGAGCCTCAAGTCTTTTCTCTGTCTGGTCCAGGCCTTGGATGATACTCTCTGTATCACATACTAAGAGCTGAGTATCTTTTGTCTGAATGACCGGCTTCTCCACTGGCCGTGTCAGGACAGATTTCTTCACAGCCTGAATCTCCGTCGCCACCTTCACTACGCTCCGCTCCAGCTGCTCCAGCTGCGGCTGGAGGTCTTCCATAAGAGCCTGAGCTTTCTCGCTGCGGAGCAGGATCTGCTTGACAGCTTCTTCTGAGGCACTGGGTGTGGACGGTGGGACAGCAGCAGGCACTGGCACTGGCACTGGGACAGATGCTGGCTTGACAGTTTGCAGCTCATCAGGTCCGTTCTTTACAGCTGCTCTGAGCGTATCTATGAGCCCCCGGAGTTCTTCTTGCTGGTTCTTGTGCAAACCAGCCTGGATTTTGATAGCTTCCTGTAGGCTTGCTGGTCCCTTCTGAGCCTCAAGGAGCAGGCCTTTCAGTTCTTGAAGGCGTACCCTGTTTATGTAAGTGGACCCCATTACCCCAATGATGGCTCCTAGCACAGAACCGATGATGGACCAGTTCTTGGTACGTTCCGCCCGAGCCCGCTCCTTCTCATGGCTCTCACGCACACCAGCGGAGAAGAGGTTAAATTTCTCCCGCTCTCCTTCCTCGGCGTTTTCATAGGCTGTTTTGAGACGCCTTTCCTCCTGTTGACACAGAGAAGTCAATGAGTGGACATTAGTTGAAGTGTATTAGTATTTGTATATCACTATTAATCTGATAGAGCCAGAGCTGATTCCTGATATAAGCAGTTGCTTAGGGCCCCTTTGTAGCCTTGTATTATTATTGTTATGATTATGCATGTCAATAATGATACCAGCAGAAAGATATCTTGCAATTATTTATTTCATTTTATTTATCATCTACTTGTTTTATTTCTGTAGATAGTTTAGTTGCTTAAAATGAATAAAGTATTAATTGTTTCTAATTGGTACATACAAAGTGAAATAATTACAGTGAGTGGGGGGATCCCCAAGTGGAATGTCAATTAAGGCTCCCAAACATTCAGAAACAGCCCTGGATAGAATCATAAGGTTCACTGGACTCAAAAGTACATAGGCTTTGTTCAGACAGGCTGCTCAAACTGGATTTTTTGGCATAAAAAGCCAAATTTTCAACAACAACCAATATACATATGCAAGCTATTGTGAATATAGTCTGGTCACACAAAGTGTATTTGACCACTTGGAACTTGCAATGTGGACATGCAGTCCAAAATCAGAATTAAAGGGCCTGTATCATGAAAAAAAAACCACCTTTTCCTAGTTTATTCTAATGTACAAAATGTACATTACATCAAAATGTACAGCTCAAAAAATAAGCTGTAAAAATAGCTAATTTTCAATTCATTGTTTTTGGGATATTCCAAAAGCAAACTCATTTACACACACGCGCGCACATATTTGGCCTAGAAAAGTTTAGCCCTCCCATTCTCACAGAAGGTAATATGAAGTGTTTCAGCCTGGTGTTCTATTTGAATGAGGTCAAATACAGGACAGTCAATAAAAAACAAAACCCATTTACACATATCAGACTTTAAAAATAAATTATGACTGTGTTTGATAAATATACCCACACAAATTTTATAAGTGAACTAAAGGGAAAAAATAAGAAGAAAAATAAGAAAAAGGTAAGTAGGATATGGGCACTATAAGATCTAAATCCAATTTTTGTTTTTTTTTGTCCAAGTTTTGTGAACAAAGCCAACACTATGGGTTTGCAATATTATCTCAGCACCACTAGTGATTTCTTGTATTTTTGCAGCTGAGTCAAGAAGATTAAGATGTGCAATGAATAAGACGCTGTATGTTTTAGCTCCTCTGTAATCACCCAGGCTTCCTCACCTGCAGTAACTTGTGTTCCAGCGTAGCTAACTCTAGATAATGTGCCTCCTCTCGTGATACCCGGTCCAGGCGATCTCTAACTTCCTTTAGTCTTATCTGAAGAGCCTCCAAACTGGAATGGGCCTCACGGACCATTCCTCTGGCTATCATGAACGCCTTCTCTGCCTTTTGAACAACAACACATACACTGTCAGGACATAGACCATGATTATGAAACATGAAAAGACACATTATATGTCCAAAAGTATCCAGGCACCCCTTCTAATGAGTAAATTCCATTATTATAAGGTGCAAACATAGCTGATAGCTATTCAATTGCACACATATTGCTTATATACAAAACCTCCATATAAAAGCCCTTTAATAGAATGGGATGCTCTAGAGCAGCCGCACATGAGCCTAAGGTCACCATGCCCAAAGCCAAGCTTCGGCTAGAGGGATATAAAGGTATAAACTGGGCTGTGAAGCAGCAGAGCTGTGTTCTGCTGAGTGATGGAGCTCCTCTGGTATGAGTTCTAGTGATCCAGTAATCATCCATCATCAACACCTGACCTCACTAATACTCTTGTGACTGAATGCTATCCAATCCTCACATCTAGTGTAAAGCGGCCCCAGAAGAGTAGAGGCTGTTACTGCAGCAAAGCAGGAACAAACTCCTAATTAATACCCTTGATTTCAGAAGAAACGTTGCATTAGCAGGTGTCTACAAACTTTTGGACATATAGTATATTACTATCATTGCTTACCTCTGTAACTTTACTCTGAGCGTCTCTAACTTCATTGAGGCCTACAAATTCCTCGTACTTTTCCCACCAGTAATTGACAGTGGTGGTCATGGTTCTCACAGAATTCTGGCCCCACTGTTTCCCAAGCTCTGCCACATTCTTCAAGGCTGCCAAAGACTTCTCCTGAGTGGACACAGCCTTATTTTGTGGACTCTCCTTTGAGGAACAGTAGGTTCTGTTTATGGAGACATTATACCGGACTCTGCCAGCCCTGACAGGGACTTGGAGAAGATAGAAGCAGGTGCCATAGCTCCTTGGTAGTACGCAGCTCCCTCTGTACCTCATTGATGTACTTTCATTTGGTCTGGAAACACACCTAAAACCTGCAATCTGTAGTGAGAAAGCACTTCCTTAGGCAAGAATGCTACTCAGAGAAAAAAAAGATGGTTCTTCATGCTTCTTCTATTGAGAACCATGAGTTCTACATAAACCGTGTCATGCTTATTAGTCATTACTACAATGTCAAGCTTTTAACAACAGAGGCATATAGAACCATTTTCAAACGGGAACCATCTTTTCAAGAGTGTAGTAGTTACATATATATATATATATATATATATATATATATATATATATATATATATATATATATATATAGTTTATCTTATATAAATCCATTCATTCCAACTTTAGGTCTTTCTCCACTTTAGAATCAGCATGAAAGGCAAATTGTATGCTTTAAATTTTACACAACTCTCTATATAACACTGACATTCACAGCTATGGGAACATAAACATTAAACAGCAGAGACTTAACTGTTGTCATCACATGTCAATAACTCACCCGGGAGCTAACCATTAGCTAGCTAACTGTCTCTAAAGACATTAAAACAATAAACACCGCACCAACATCAGCTACACACCTGATATTTTCTTCTTAGCTGTCTTCGAGAGGAAAGTTGAGCATATTAACAAATAACCCAGGCTGTTACGAACTGCTAAAAGAGAGCCGGGTCTCTATATGAAAGTCATGCTAGGAAAAGTGGCTAACATTTCCTTCAGGCACATATTTAGACGAAATATTCGTTCCACCTTAAATGGTGCAGGAAAAGTGGCTAACATTTCCTTTAGACACACATTAGGACGAATTATCCCTTCCACCTTAAATAGTGCAGCAGTTACTGCCGCATCATTTAAGGTGGAACGGACAATTCGAAAAACAAGCTGGCGAATAACAAGCCAACTTAGACGCACATATCCGGTTCAGAAAGCCGCCGAGAGGTCCTGAGGGAAGCTGCTCTCGCATACCAGCCTGTTTAGCTATTGCTAGCCAACATGTCGGGAAGAGAAGGTGGGTATTATGGCTTATTTAGCGCCACAGCTTGGAGCCTTGCAGCAGATGAACGAGTTTGACAGTAGCGGCCTGTTAATCTTCCTCAGTAACGCGTCTGAGGTGGCTGTTTTAGCAGAGTGCTGGGCGGCCACGCTCGGCTAGGCTAACATGAGCTAAACTGGGCGGGCTCAGAGATTATACCGTTACCGTGAGCGAAGACCTGGCGAGCTGTTCAGCTCCTTCCAGGTTGATGTTGCGTATAAATATATAAATATTACAGCTTTATAAGTAACTAAAATGATCCAAAGACTAAAGAAAATAGGAGTTCGGTGTGGCTAGTTTAACGGCACTGATTACTAAGTAGTGTTACTAATTCGAGAGGTCTGTGCTGTGAAACCGTGTAGGGTGTTTTTTTATATATTAATTATTAATATATAACATTTTATATATATATATATATGTATATGTATATGTATATATATATATGTATATAAATGTGTGTGTGTGTGTGTATGTGTGTGTATGTATGTGTGTGTGTGTATGAGAGAGAGATATAGATATAGAGAGATATATAGCGCTGGGGAAACGTGAGAAGTCTTTCTAAATTCGCAGTGATGGGTTGTGGTCAGTCGTAACGTTAGCTAGAAGTACTGGGCAGTATTGCTAAAATGCGCTATCACAGTATTTTTCAGGAGTCATGTTACATGATGATGCTAGTAAGTTAGCGCTAATAAAATGAATGGACAGATGCTTCTTGATTACGGCGAATCAAGGCTAAAAGAATGGCTGAATCTCAAATGGATCCCTACTGTCTATGTAGTACATCTTTGTAGTCAATGAAATGAAGGCTTGTGCATCCAAATAGTGCTTTATATGTCTAATGCAAAGCCATTTTATATCCAGCCATACGCTGCATGACATCCTATCTAAACATTCAGCGCACTGTTTGGGTGTTAAAGTCATTGTTTCATGACTATCATGGCATGACTGTACAGGGCAGTTAGGCTGAATGTTTTGTCAACCATGCTAAAAGAGCAAAGCAGGTTTGGCCACCTACTACGTTTGAATACCCCATAACAGCCTCCACTCTTCTGGGAAGGCTGTTCTAGCAGGGCAGAAATCTTACAAACTGAATTTGGCAGTGCCACGTTTAAAGTCATTGCATACACACACACATTTTGCACTAATGACTATGAAATAGATTTTCACTCCAGAAGTAAAAGAGTGTTATTATTCATATGTATTTGTACGGTGTAGCTGTTAAGTGCAGCTTGTTCCTAATAGCAGGCCTTAGACGATGATTCATGGCTTTCAATAGATGTGAAGAGCTGCTGTGTGTGGACTTGGTCTGACTTATATACTTACACCTGCAGGAGGCAAAAAGAAACCCCTTAAGGCTCCCAAGAAACAGACAAAGGACATGGATGAGGTGAGTTTATTAACTAGTTACAGAAGATACAAATTGTTTTGAATAAAATCTCTTGCAATTAACTTACACTGAAAGTAAAGAATGTTTTACCTTCTCCTGTAAAGATATTTGTTTTTCTTTGGACAGTGACAAAATATAGGTTTGAGGTAATTATTTTAGTAACCATGTTTCACATCTGTCCAGTGTAGTAAAGTGAAAACAAAGCAGGTTTTGTCACATACAGTATTTGAATTTTCATGTACATTTATTTTCCATAGGATGAAGTGGCCTTCAAACAGAAGCAGAAGGAGGACCAGAAAGCTTTGGAGGCAATGAAAGCCAAAGCAGCAGGAAAAGGACCTTTAAGTATGTCTGCTTTCTAAGAAGAGAATTTGTCATTACACATTGTAGCACTAACATTGAATTGCACACAGTGACACTCTAGATGGCAGTATTGAGCTTGTGAAGCATCTCCAATGTCTCGGTCATTTCTTGTCCCTGTGCATTCTGGTAGGTATGTAGCTTTGCGCCTCCAAATAAAATTTTTTAGCTCAAATACAAATCCGGTAGCTCATCTTTTCCTGAAGATAGCTGACCATTCTTTCCACATCACATTCCCTCCGGCTGTATCAGCGCAACTGTGAAAGGCAGAGGCCACATTCAGCCCCTGGAAACCCTTCTTCAACTTTTGTCATTAGCTACTAACAGAAGATGAGCTCATAATGTCTTAATGTCCTTGTTTACATTTGATTAATTTTAGTTTTTGGGGGACGTTTCAGCCATGCTATGTCACGTTACATCCATGGGTTTAACGTCAAATTTGTTGGACAGTGTTAACGAGCACACCATTTTCTAGCGATGGTCATCCCCAGACGTTCGTTATGAGATCACATCTAGTCCCACAAGACCAGGAGATATGAGAATAAATTGATCTCATTTGTTTGAGTTTTGGATGTTCAGACAGACCTGGTCATCATCAGATCTTTACTACCACTTGTTGGCGTTAAGATCATTGGCAACTGGTAAATTTATCACATTAAAAGCATGTTTTAGCTGGGATAGACCAGTGACATCACTCACTGCAAGTATTTGTGGTATTAGAGGTATAGATGAAACTTATTTCCTCTCTTGATTTTCTCTGATCTGGTGAACGTGTGGATTCACAGTCTGCTCTGCCAACGTATTTACTGACAACATGGGCTTCAGATCAGGCAACGTCAAGAAAGGTAGAAAAGAAAAGGGAGTTTGTCTCTTTGTTGATCACTTAAGTACAAAGTCTTTGTGGTTATAAATTCATGAGTTTACAAGTTATGAGGACCACCTGAATGCATGAGGGTGTACTTGTGGCTTCATGGTTGGGGACTCCATGAAAACAATATGAAGTTCATTATTTTTCTGGAAATGCAGAAAAATGACGCTAGAAAAGTAACATTTCAGACAGAGTGGATTATCCTCTCATCAAATAGTTTCTATCTTTTTTTTTCGGTTTGATAGTTTTGGATATTTCAAACAAATTTCTTGGCCTCTTTATCCTCACCATGATAGCAGTCACCCCTAATGGTTAATTTTCTCACAAGTCAGAACCAACTGTAGTCTTGCCTTTTTATTGCTCCTGTCTTGTTATTGTTTTGCTGTCCCGTGTTGACCAGAGGACGATGGCTTCCACTCTTGGCGTCTTGTTTCCTTTCACGGTTTCTTCCTTATGTTTTTCCTTGCCTCTGTAGCCCTTGGCTTGCTCATTTGAGGCTCCGAAATGGATTTTCTGTACAGCTGCTTTGTGACTACGCCTGTTGTAAAACACTCTGTATGAATAAATAAATCTTGAATTTATTCAGATGGGTTTTGTTATAATTCTGTGCAAAAATTCTATTTCTGTAACCTGTATTCTGACAGTTGGGCATCAAGAGTAGACCTAACTTGAAAACGAGGAGGAATCTACGCCCATGTTAAAGCACCTTCATTAACCTCCTTTACTCTGTCTCCATTTCTGTTCACAGGTGGTGGTGGAATCAAAAAGTCTGGGAAGAAGTGAATTAGAAGTGTAAGCTACCAAACAAGCCGCTGTTCAATGCTCATCTGGGTCCACAGATACAAATGTACATGCAATAGCATTTTTAATTACTTTGCCTCCCTCTTGTAAGTTGAAATAACTGAAATAAAGTTTTGTAACTTACTGCTGTGTTTACATTTTGTAAACATGATGTCTGGGATAGACTCACTATATATCCAATCAGCACAGGTAGAACAAATTAATACATGTACACTCAGATTAAAAAGTTGCATTTAAAGCTGAAACATTTCATCCACGCTTTGCCCATCTTCAGAAACTGCCTCCTTTTTTCCCTCAACATCCAGCTCCAGTGCAAGCGTTCCCTCTTTCTCCCACTGTATTCTATTTGTCGCGTTTGCCTGAGCCTAAAACAAGAGGGGATTTTATATACACACAGTTTTTTTTCCTTTCATTTTGTAATTTAAGTGATGTATTGGTTGACAAATCCCGAGTAGTGTTATTGAGACAAAGTGTTTGTAATAGTCAGGATGTACAAAATAAAGAGTTCCACTGCTTACTCTGACCGGAGGACTTGCTTTTTTTCAGTTCCACCTCCACGGGGTAGTGGTCACTCACTTTAAGTGCCTGTACAAAAACATTACAGTACTTATTAAAGAAAAGACTGAAAACTGGGAGGTAGTACTGAGAGGCACACAGATTTAAAGGGGCCTGTATCATAGAACATTTAGCTTTCTTAACTAGTTATTTAAATAAAAGGTTAAACGTTGCATGCAAACATGCCCATCTATGGAACCCAAGCTGCAAAAAAGCCAGTCTGGAATAAATTCATGATGTCATGGAAAGGCATTTATGCAGATTTGCTTATTCAGCCTATGCAGTTCTGCCCCACCTGTCATTATAAGAGATGATCCAGCTCTTAAGTGCAAAGTACAATACAGCCAATCAGACAGAGCTCATATGCATATAGCAGTTTTAAAGGCACAGTAGAGATCAAACTGCACCTATAGAAGGAAAATTGGTCAGTAAAAATATGGCTGTTCTGGTACATAAACCCACTCAAAAATCAAAGCAACTAATAATGCAATAAAGTAGGTTGATGTGCTGTACTTCAAAATTCAATAGTAGTATTACAATTGTGAATCTGAAGAGTGCATAGATTTGATTTTAAAATGTTTAGAAGTGAGTTATAAAATGTGTATTTGATGCAAAAATATGCATTGATGTAATTAAGTTTTAACCTGGCATGAGCTCGAGTGCCAGAGCTCAACAGGCATTATAGAGCATGATTTGTGTTTTTAGAAATCAACTGCTGGGAGATCTTGAGAACTTATCTTAAAAAACAGAATGAAATTCAGGCATGTTGTAGAATCGAGGCCGCTCTAATCAGCCATTTGGAATATGAAGCTCTGTTTTGTTATTTACACTATCATTATGTAAACAACTTGTATTGTTCACATGACTGAGAAAGGAGGTGGAGGTTTCCATGAACACTCAGAACCCTTTGCATGATTAAAGGGTTCTTTGCATCATTATGGTTCTTCAGATTGATGGAGTGTGTGTTTTATATGGTCCCATATAGAACGTTTTTGAAAAGGGTTCTATATAGCACCAAAAAAGGGTTCTTCTATTGTTACAATGTTAAGCCTGTAACAATAGAAGAACCGTTTTAAATAAGGTTCTATATGGAACCATTATAAAACACTCTCTCCTCTAATCTGAAGAACACTTTCACAATGCAAAGAACCCTTTAATCATGCAAATGGTTCTTTGAGTATTTAAGGTTCTATAAAGAACCAGAACCTTTGAAGAACCATCTTTTTTTAAGTGTGTACATTAATGTACATTCCAGTTAAGAATGTTACCTATGATTTTTTGGTTTTTCCTTTAAGTATTTGGACACTTTAACAAAGTAACCACTGGTAAATTTTGAAGCTGACATTTTGTTTCCGAATACAATGAACTTAGTATATAGTTAGGTATGGAACAAGTGTCCAAATACTTTTTGGGGCCCACAGTACTGAGAAATGGCTTTAAAAGTAACAGAGCACTTACATCAGCTTCAGTGAGTCCATATTCCTGCTGGAAGTTGAACGCTTTGGCAGAGTTTGGCACAACAGCGTCTAGCAAGGCCTTTCCATACACCACAATCCTGCATGCATTTAGAGAAGAGATGCATGAATGCCAGTACGGCTCCTAATCTATATTACTATATATACTATATTTATTACTATATATACTATACTTTACTGTATATACTATATATAGTATATAATCTATATACTATATGGATGTCTCTCATTTAAACGTACTCATTGATTTATAATTTCCAGAAGGGCCAAATGTTTATATGAGCTGAAGATATAATAAGAGAATAGAATACATAATACCCATATACATGTGTATGTCAGCCATAACATTAAAATCCTTGTTTCTACACTCACTGTCCGTTTGATCAGCTCCACTTACCATATAGGAGCACTTTGTAGTGTCACTGCTGGACTGAGAATAGTCCACCAACCAAAAATATCCAGCCAATGTGGGCAGCGTCCTGTGACCACTGATGGAGGACTACAGGATGATCAACACAAACTGTGCAGCAGCAGATGAGCTATCGTCTCTGACTTTACATCTACAAGGTGAACCGACAAGGTAGGAGTGTCTAATAGAGTGGACAGTGAGTGGACACAGTGTTTAAAAACTCCAGCAGCACTGCTGTGCCTGATCCACTCGTACCAGCACAATGCACACTAACACACCACCACCACATCAGTGTTACTGCAGTGCTGAGAATGACCCACCACCCACATAATACCTGCTCTGCGGTGGTCCTGTGGGGGTCCTGACCATTAAAGAACAGGGTGACAAAGTTTGCAGAGAAACAGATGGACTACAGTCTGTAATTGTTGAGCTACAAAGTGCACCTATATAGTAAGTGGAGCTGATAAAATGGACAAGGAGTGTAAAAACAAGGATGAGATTATGACTGACGAACCTGTCGTAGGTGTTGTCGTTCTTTAAGCGTGTCGTGGTGTCCACATCGTCAGAAATCAGCCAGTGGAAGTTTTTGTCGGTGAAGATGCGAATTTCTTTCATCTCTTTTTTGGACACGTAACTGCCGTCTGCGTTGAAGTCTCCCAAGATCATGATATTCTGAGTAAAGCAAGAACAACAGACGATACAGTCATCTGTATAATTATTGGCATCCTTGATAAAGATGGGTAAAAAAATCTGTGTTGCTGTTTATCTGATGGGGACAGTTTTGGTGGTCTACCATGTTGTGTGGGTGGTTTCTAGGAATCTTAATAAATCATTTATTGAACTCTACACTTTTTAAAAAGAGGGTTCTTCAAGGGTTCTTTAGTAAAGAAAATGGTTCAATATAGAACTATGGGCACTCAAAGAGCCCTGTGCATGATTAAAGGGTTCTTTGCATCATTGAAGCGTTGTTCAGATTGATGGAGAATGTGTTTTATATGGTTCTATCTACAGACTTTTTGAAAAGGGTTTATATAGCACCAAAAAGGGTTCTTCTATTGTAAAAAGGTTCTTCACAATTCCAAGTCATTCACAAAAACTGAAAGGATCTTCAAGGAAACAAAAGTGGTGTTACTACACTCTTAAAAAAGGTGGCTCTTCCTGGTTCTGTAGTGAAGAAAACGGTTCTATATAGAACCATGAACACTCAAAGGACCCTTGGCATGATTAAAGGACTGATGGAGAAAGTATTGAATATGGTTCTACAAATAAATAGAAAAGGGTTCTATATAGCACTGAAAAGGGTTCTTCTATTGTTATGATTTTAAGCTGGAATAAAAGAATAAAAGAACCCTTTTTGGTGCTGTACCTTTTCAAAAGGGTTCTATATAGAACCATCTATAGCATGTTCACCAATCTGAAGAACCATTTCACCATACAAAGAACCATTCAATCATGCAAGGGTTCATTGAGTGTTCATGGTTCTATATAGATCTATTTTCTTTACTAAAGAATCGTTGAAGAACCATCATTTTTAAATGTGTAGTTTTGGAAACTTGTTTTTCTTTGCCTTCCCTTTTCCTTATCTTTCCTGCAAATGCACAATTTTCTATCTAATCTCGTTAGAAAAAGTTTGATTTTGTGATTCAAATGATGAACTATAAACTCTGTACTATGTGGTCATTGATGTGGTCAGTTTGACTTACTTCTGTTTTCCATTTGTCTCTTACAACCTTGGCCACGTCATAAAACTCATCAATCTCTTTCTCTGAGGCTTCAGGCTTTGTGTGGACAGGAATCATGACCAGGTCTTTCACCACTACAAACAAACCCACACATAAATCACAGGTACATTATAATGCAAGATAGCACAAGCTTCTCATACTGTATATGATATTATGCATCATAAAAGACAATTAACAAATATTCAGCCTGTAAGACTGCCAAGTCCTAAAGAGGCCTATACTGTGTCACTGGGGCAGAACCCTCAAGGCTACATCTCAGTACCTTTAGTCAGAGAACATAACTGTACCATAATCCACTGAAGTTATGTTCCACACACTGAACTGACTCCACACACCCCGTCTCATCGCCAGGCTTTTTATTTTATTGTTCTGTTTTAAAACATTCGGTTATGAAAAGGTACAAATACAAACTTTTCACCTGGAAAAACTTATTTAAGGTTCACAGTTGGATCTTAAAACCACTGTTGTACCTTTGAGGGAACATTTACATTGTTTGTACTATGATGAATGAAAAAAGTACCTGCACAGAACCTTTATTTCTAACAGTGTGGGCCAGAAAATGCTGTGTCAGTTTTCAACTATATGAAGAAACAGAGCCAGTTCCTAATGATGAGTCTTTTAACTCGCTCTTTATTCATTTTGTTACCTGTGTTAGGACAGGAGAAGCGCAGAATATAGGGTTCTCTATCAAAGGCGTCTTCATCTCCAGGCTGGTTGTCCTCATACTGGTACGTTCCAATCACTTTCGCCACGTCTTCCCTGCCATCGACAATACAAGCTTCGATTAACTCCAGTAAACCAACCATAAGAGACAGCTGTCCTATTAAAACTAAAGGTTCCTGAATAGTTCTTGACTTAAATGCATGGTTCTAGGACAAATTACAATTGTTTAAAAAAAAATTTTTTTAAATTTTCTTCATAATTTTACACCATTCACAAAAAGTGAAAGGTTCTTCAGGGGAACAAAAGTGGTACTACTACAATTTTAAAAAAGATGGTTCTTCAAGGGTTCTTTAGTAAAGAAAATAGTTCGATATAGAACCATGAACACTCAAAGAACTCTTTGTATGATTAAAACATTTGTCAGATTGATGGAGAATGTGTTGTATATGGTTTTATATAGAAGCTTTTTAAAAAGGGTTCTATATAGCACTAAAAGGGGTTCTTCTATTGTTACGATGTCAAGCTTGTAACAATAGAAGAATAGAAGAAGCCCTTTAAAAAACAAGGGTTCTTTTAGTCAAGAAAACAGTTCTATATAGATCCATTAACACTGGTGTGATTAAAGGGTTCTTTAGATCCATGGAGACTGTGTTATATATGGTTCTGTATAGAAGCTTTTTGAAAGGGTTCTGTATAGCACCAAAAAGTTCTGCTGTTGTTACGATGTCAAGCTGTAGCAATAGGTGCTATACAGAACCTTTTTCAAAAACCAAGAACCAAGAACCATCTACAGCACATTCTCCATCAAACTGAAGAACCATTTCACAATGCAAAGAACCCTTTAAGCATGTAAAGTTTTCTTTGAGTGTTTATGGTTCTATATAGCACCAAAAAGCATTCTTCTGTTGTTACGATGTCAAGCATGCAACAATAGAAGAAGTGGTTCTACTACAGTCTAAAAAAGATGTTTCTTCAAGGGTTCTTTAGTACAGAAAATGGTTCCATATAGAACCATGGACACTCAAAGAACTCTTTGCATGATTAAAGGCTTCTTCAGATTGATGGAGAATGTGCTGTATGAAATTCCATATAGAACCTATTTGAAAAGGGTTCTGTATAGCCCCAAAAAGCTTTCTGCTACTGTTACGAAGTTTTAACAACAGAAGTACACTTTTGGGTGCTATATAGAACCCTTTTCAAAAACATTCTATAAAGAACCATCTACAGCATATTCTCCATCAATCTGAAGAACGATTTCATGCAAAAGGGTTCTTTGAGTGTTCATGGTTCTATATAGAACCATTTTTTTACTAAAGAACCCTTGAAGAACCACCTTCTTTAAAGTGTAGTAGTACCACTTTTGTTTCCTCTAAAGAACCTTTTAGTTTTTGTTAATGATGTCAAAATCTTTTTAAGTGTGTAGTATTTGGCTCAAATAACACAAAAACAAGGTGTTTTTTAGGTTGTTTGGGTCGTGTTTTTTCAGGCTGGGTACTGCGTGAGTCTCCAGAACTAAGGGGGGCTTTTCTAGCTTGCAGCTATACCAGCAAGCTGATTGGCTCCTTTTATGGAAGGGCAGGACAGACACCATGTTGTGCGTTACAAGCTTCATTTTCCAGTCAGTGACCGTTCTCCTCCTTTATAATGTTTCTGGTTAAACACACCTGATTCATCTCATCAGCTATCAGCTAGTTAGCAAGTCCTGTTCTCGCGCTTTTTGTGAATGATTGATCTGCAAGACGTGAGAGAAGCCGAGAAAGACGCGAGACTATACAGACCTTTAATTCAGCGTTTTCAAACTCCAGACTTGGAGCTCCTGCACTGTATAGTGTAGTGTCTGCTGTTCACACCTTGTTCAACTCAATAAGGGGTTAATTAGCTAATAAAATCAGGTATTTTAACCAGGGAAACCATATGAATGCAGCGCTGCGGTTGCAGGACTGGAGCTGGGAACTCTGAACTAAATGCACTAGCAAACTTAGAAAATCACGTCTGTCGAAACACAACATAGTTTTCTGACCCACAACATTCAGTCTGATATTAAACATTTTCTCCATTCAAACGTCACTTAAATTTCCATAAACAGAGAAGTAAAGTTATACCGGCTGTTTGCAGCTCTGTTTATCTCTCGGCTGAGAGCAAAAGTTATCTAAAGGCTAGCATTGTTCACATCTGTGTTGATTAGCTGATGTCGTTACCCTCCTATGATGACAAAGAGTGTTTTCTCCTCTTTATGCAACACCATGGGATCCTTTACCCACCCTGACGTGAAGAGCCGGTGGGCTTCTGTGTTTTTAAATGCTTTGAGAGACCCTCCAGAGTAGGGAGAGGGGTTGTGTATGAGATAAATATAAATATAAATGTCAGGAAAACACAAATTTGGTAGCTTTCTGCTAGTTTAAGTGGGACCAGGAGTTCAGGGGGAAACTGTGTAAGGATCGCAGACTAATTTATCGACTTTGTCGAGGTAACATTTTTTTCTCTTCCAAAGTCAGGAGAGTAATTTTAGCCATCTTTCACTTCTAGTAACGTTCATGCTGAGCAGCGAAACCAGAAATTTGGTCCCAAATTGGTCCCTGACTGAAACCCTAGGATATGAGTTGATTTCAGAGTGTTAGTAGCAAAACGCTACTCTCTGCAGAGCTGTGGCCCGCAAGGAACCCAGTTTGGCAAACCTGTTTTAGATGGAGCTAATATTGTGCAACAGCAAGCTGTTTCTGCTAAAGAGGCCAGGGACTGTAATAGGTTTTTAACAGAGTTTACCTGTAAAGGAAGAGATACTGCTCCTTGTACACGGTTCTTCCCAGACGTTTGCTGATCTTCAGGCTGTAAGGACGCTTCGGGTTGGTCCTGTCAAAAGAGGTTTACATCAAATTCTTTCCCACCATTCCAGTTTAGAATCACATTAGCCATGAAAGATCAACGTGCTTCACCTACTTATTTAGTTCCTTCAGAAAAGTGTCAACAGTTGTCCCGCTTCCGTCCACCACCTCCAGGATGATGACGATGTCATAGCGTGACACTATCTGAAAGAAGAAAAAGAGCAATTAATAAATATCATTTCAACTTCAAACTCATTCACTTTGTTCGTTAAAAGTGCGTACGTGTTTACCTTAACGAGAACGGACAGAACAGCTGGATCTGACAGTTTCCTCTTCCCGAATTTCTGAATGTTGAAGGAGGCTATCTTCATGATGTCTGCATGATGAAACAAAACACTTTTACTTTAGATTACATGATGATGTTGTGTGCCTAGATTTTTATTTTTAAAAAAATGAATGAATTTGACTGGAGGAGGTCTTTCAGAAATGCTCTTTTAGATTTCAAACATTTACCCTCTTTTTAATTAGGGCTGGCCAAAGTTGGCCTGTGTGGACCCACCCTTTTCACACATCGAGGGAACAATCATTCCGTAGAGGCCGTGTTATCTGAACCACAGGCGCCCAATCTCCCTACCTTTATATTTTCCTCTTAAATTGCATTTTTGAAGCTTTTTACTAACAAAATACAGTGAAATGCTCTACAACGCATTTTTAAAAACTCAATTTAAAACCTAAGCAGTAAAAAAAAATACAATGTTTCAGCTTGAAAAAGTAAGTAAATGTGGTTGACAAACTTTTGGGTTCATTGGATTTATAATTGTAAGTTAACACCAATAATCTGTGATTTACATTCGTTTAGCTTATTAGTTGAAGTTCAATTAATGGAACACAATTTGTTATTTTGAGTTAAAACTCTGAATCAGTTTTACAGTGTTGTATTGTTTTGTCATAAACTTTGGCTACCTAAGACAAAAAAATTTGTGCACCCCATTTTTAACCTTCTGTGTTTGTCTGTTAGATTTATTTGCCTTGTTTATGTTGCTTTTCTTGAGAAACACACAGAGATCTGCTATATGATGCTTTTGATGCTAATTATGTGAATTCGCCTAAAACTTCACATTCAATAATTGCTAATCAGTTACACACAAAAATCCCCAAATCAACTGAGAATATTTCCTTAAACTGTAATTTCAAAATGATACATCCTCTCACAGAATTATACACAAACAATGTGTCTGGGGACGTAAAGTTTGATATGTGAGTTATTCTCATGAAACATTGACACTGGAACCTGAAGTCTGGTTGAATAGTTAAGAGAAAACATGAATAATTGAATGAATAAGAAAAATTTAATTGTTTTTCAGGAACATTTTCCAAATTAAGAGACCAAATTCTCACCTCCACAACATATATATATTATTTTAAATTTTGTTTCAATTTAAATTTTAACTTTTACATGTGTAACTTAAAGGTTTGTGTTCAATTAATGTACTGTTTTTGAACTAAGTATTTTACCTTATTCATAATTATTTAAAAATATGCATATATTACAAAATACAGTATTTTGTGCATTAATGTCATTACTATAACACAATTATAGCACATTTTATATTTTTTTTCCCATAAACTCAGCAAACAAATAGAAATTAAGCCCTAAAATTTGTTGGAAATGTCATATTTAAGTGTTTTCTCAGTAAAGAATGTGTGAACTTATTTTCACATTGCAAAAATTAAAAAATGTTAAAAAAAAAAGTTCTCAATTCTTCTAAAAAAAAGTGAAGAAGTGAATTTTTTTACTGTTGTATATAGCGATCCATTTGATCCACTAAATTATATGAATATTTTTCATCTGCCTGATGACTATGGCACTCAAATATTTGTGGAGATGGTCTCATGAGAATGACAGAGATGTGGTTTAATCAAGGCATTTACTTCTTTGATGTGTGGAACCACACAAAAGGTGAGAAGACTTATTTGAATGACTGTAACAAACAAAAAAATGCAGTCACATTTTTAGCTGTGCATCCAGGCAGAGAGCTTTTTCCACTTGAAGCAAAAATTGTATCTTGTTAGTATCGACTATCCTGCTTTAAACAGAATCCTTAGGCATGTTTTTGAAGGTAGCAGCATAAGAAGACAGAATGATCTTAATCAGCGTTCCTCAAAATGGTAATTTCAGAGCGTGATGTATGTAAATGCTCTCAACGGCACAAACGTTTTGACCGAGACTGGAAAAACAGGTTCAAATACATTCTACTGTTACAGCCATCTTAACTGACCACAGTGATACTCAGTCCTGCCTCCAAGAGGCCTTCAGAGATAAAACACAAACAAACTGATTCCAGCACGAGACCACAGTGGCTTCGGTGTTACACTGAGACAGAATAATCATGTAAATTCTTTAGCAGTGCTATAAGTGGGAACTGTAACCAAGTGGAAACAAGACTGAAACACTCCTGTCAGCCTTATTTCAGATAATAAAGCTAAATCTGTGTCTGCCTTTCTTGAAAAACTTTTAATCATTTTTTTTAATCAGTCAAACAATGAATTGGTCATATAAGGTTCCTACTGGGTTGGAATGAAAACCTGTCACCACATTGGCCCTTTTCTGGACAAGACTGGGGACCGCCTGCTATAAATGTTCACACTACAAAAGGGAAATTGCACTTTTGTCAAAACCTCCATATAATCAAATGGCTAAGATGTAAACAGAGTCATTCAGAGTGGTTTGGTGTGAAATGCTCTGTTCTGGAGAAACTTACAGAGTCAGAATTGTTTACAATGGTGGTGATAGGAACCAGACGTCCACCTCTAAAAGCTCCCTTACAGAAAGTTATTGCATGAAATAGTTATGAATACACAGCCTAAAGCTTGAGACATTGTTTGATGCTAGCTTTTGGCCCAAGAAGTTTCACTTGGAATATCAACCAAACATGTCAGGGGTGTTTTTTTAGATTTACCACTATTACGTGTGAAAGAACATAATATTCTCTACTGGTTTTGGATAGTAAATAAAACAGCTATATTTGAGTTGTAGACATCATGACCCCTGGTTCCAATCACCACCACTGTAAAGAATTCTCTAATCAGTAAGTCAGTAAATCACTAAGGGCCTGTTTACACCTTGCATTAACATGCATTTTCAGTGAACAGATCACGTTAAAATTGACGGCATTAAAAGTCAGGTGTAAACGCACTGTGATTGGATTACGAGCGGATTACTCAAGCCACATTCAGAGGTGATCAGAGACAGATCTTGACCACATTAAATACAATGTGAATGAATTTTTACAGTTATGTGAGGTGAGAGACTGAACAATTAAGTAAAAGACAGAGGATACACAGCCCCCAAACCAAGAGCCCTCTTGCACTCTGGACTGATGAAAGTGTCTAAGCCAAGCCTGTAGACTCGTATACTAACAATGAAAAAGTGGACAAAAGTAAAACAGAAAAGACGTACGTTGAAGTTCTTTGTAGTAGGGAAAAAAGCAATCGGATCACATCTGGTCAAACTGGGGACGCACTTTAGTGAAAAGTGTAAATGGAATCCACCTCCAGTTCATCCAGATACAATCCAGACACAAAACACATGTTAATGCAAGTTGTAAACAAACTCTAAGTTTCTCTACAACAGAGCATTTCACATCAAACCACCTGCAGAAGTTTTGAAAAATGTGGCATTCCCTTTAATTCTTCACACTCATAATTACAAAACGTGCCTAGTAGGTACTCCATGATTCATAGCAGTGAATTACAGCATTAAGATTAATAACTGAACTGAATTTACTTGATTCAAATGTGTGCATTGGCTCCTCATGAATGAAATATGTTGCATCAACATAATTACTATGTGGTAAGTATTTCATTAAGATACTTAAATTAGAGCAGGGCTATCAAACTCAACCACTAAAAGGGCCATATTAAAAAATCTCAGCAAATCTTTCGGCCAGCTTTTTATTTCATTTTTACTTAACATTTTGCCATAACCTGAACAGGCCACTGTTTATTCAAAATATTCCAAAACTGCAACAGCAAAATAGGCATTAAATGCTTATTCAAAATAATTCTAAATAAAAATAAATTGTTCTAGGTAGTCTTTTATTTTTGTGTAACTGCTGGCCCATAGATCATTGTTGGGGAAGGGGACGAATGCACACTATGTTGCAGTGCATCCTGGTGACTGTAGTGCATCTCAGGGTGAAACAGGCTATTAAGAACAGACAATTAAAATAATTTTGTGGGCTGAATAGGACTGTGTCATGGGCTGACTTGGCCTGCAGGCCTTGTGTGTGACACATGGGAATTAGAGCAACCTTTTTCCGGTGCAGTAAGTCTGGGCTTCAAAGGGTTTAACGTAATAAATGTTTATCGGACTAGGAGGGAAATGTAGTCCTCACCCCCCCCCCCCGCCATCTCCCTCCACCCCACCAGTAACCACTATCAGATAACGTAAGGTTCAAGACAAACAAGCAGCACTTTGTTAGTTCATTAAAGTGTGACTATTCTGTACTGAGAGTGATTAAACTTCTCTCACTTTTGCACTCTTTACTAATTAGAGCTGTAATTGAATCCAGGTGGGAGCGCGGGTCTTGATTAACGGTCTGCAAAAACTTCATTACCCACAATACTTATCACTTGTTAACCAACAGGGGCGTTGCCTGGCCTGGGCCTCTGGGGCTTCAGGCCCGGATGTTCTTTAACCACACCCCAAACCCTCACCCACTCCTCAAAAGAGAGAGGGATACAGAAAGAGACAGAGAAAGAGAGACAAAGAGCGTGTGAGAGAGAAAGAAAGACTGCATTTGCATTTAAAAGTGCAAGGGGTTGAGTGCAAGTACCTGAAATTCTACAAAAAAGGCAAACCTACTGCACTGTAAATAAAAATAATTATTTTAATTTAAAAACTAAGTAAACGAAGTTCTTTTAAATCACCAAGATCATTGAACATAAAATAGTAAGATGACAAAGCAGTTATCATGTGTGTTACGTTCTGTTAACTCATTATTTGAAGTACAATAATATTAAACCTTACAGCAAACAGGCTCCTTTTTCTAAGCCCAAATCAGTTTTTACAGTGTACATTAAAATCTGAAACCAATCTGAAAAATTTGAAACCAAGCCCAATGTTGTATCTGTAAAATATATAACCAAATAATAACAAAATATACAAAACATTGCAGAGCCCTGCAGACCAATAAATGCACTGTTAGAAATAAAGGTTCTGTGCAGGTACGTTTTTATTCATCAAGCTACAAACAATGTAAATGTTCCCTCAAAAGGTACAACAGTGGTTTTAAGGTCCAACTGTTCACCTTAAATAAGTTTTTCCAGGTGAAAAGTACATATTTGTTCCTCTTCATAACCTAATGTTTTAAAACAGAACAGTAAAATAAAAGCCTGGAAACGAGACGGGGTGTGTGGAGTCAGTACAGCTTAGAGTGGATTATGGTACAATTAACTTCCCTGACTGAAAGTACTGAGATGTACACTTGAGGGTACCACCCTGGTGACAAGAAGGGTCCTGCCCCAGTGACAGTTTCGTACATTTTTTTCTGAGAGTGTGTTTAAAAGGGCACAAAATGGCCAAGATGGAGTGCTTTGTTTTGTTTTAATGTGAACCTTAAAACAAATGTGAAAATATTTTTTCTGGTTTACTTTTAGGCAAGAAGAGTTTCAATGAATGACTGTTCAGCTTCTAAAGTATATAAAAAAGTCTAGATAAAACACTTCTGTGTTAGCAGAACATTAGAAAGGAGACATGTAGAAGAAACTGATGTTGAGAGAGAGGAAACCTACAAAGCACTTTAATAATGACATTATTGAAACATCAGTTTTGTCACACTTTTGTCAAACTGTACTGGTTAACAGGCATGTTGGGCTAAGCCAACCCGCCTGTTAACCAGTACAGTTAAACCTTTAATTGTCCAGGGCCCACCAAGGTTTTATTAAACTCTTCTATAACCTAAGAATAGCTCAACCAGTTTGCATTAAGGTCCCTGTAGTTACTGAATAATAAGCCTTAGTATGTAATAAGCCTGAACTTTTAAGGGGTTAAATGTATTATATTACAAATGGTCCCAACCAAAGCTTTGAAGTCTCAGTGAACTGAATAAATAACTTAAAAAATGGATCACTTTAGTGATTCTAGGCTAAAACAAGAAGAATTTACTCAAACATACAAAGTGGACAACCAAGAAAACAATTGGGAACAAGTACCACTTACTTCTGAAGTTGTAAGGTATACGACAGGAAGCAGTCTGAGGGACGTCGAAGGGCCTGTTGTGACACAGTGAGCTCAAGCGACATAACATACAGAGTGAACCTGCCCTCTGATTGGCCGGTTTACGGATGTCACTCAGGCGCAGCCTCAACTTGGCCCAGCCCCAAACATGAGACCCAGCCACAACAAATGAAACCGGTCCCTCCCAGGAGGCATGTTCTCGTGGTCTGTTTGTGGAATGCAGTTAGAGGCCACGCCTGCAACCAGCTCTCCCGCAAAGCGCATGCATTAAAGGTTTAAATTAGCTGCCAAGTTCTTAGGACCGCGGAAAAAATAGGAATGCCAAGACAACAGAAAACATCAGAAGCTTCATTGCTGGACCCTTTGAAGGCCACAATCAAATCAGGCTTCCTTTATCTTAAGCTTTCACAATCAACACTATTCAGCCTCATCAAAGTGTGACTCATGTTTCTGTTTTTAAACTTTAACAGGAATGTATTACAAGGATACAACCAGAGGTGGGGAGTCAAGTATGTTGTGTGAGACAATGACTCACTCAGACGTAGAAGTAGCAAAACAAAAACAAAACAAAACAGAAAACACGCAGACGCAGGCTCAAAAATTCTCCTCCTCTATCGAGTTCCCTGTACAACTGTCAGAGTACGTCCAGCATCTCTCAGCACACTAACTGAGGCTTATTAGGACATCATAAGGGCATTACTCTTCTCTTTCAGGATCCTTTGGATACACAGTTAGCAGTAAAGGTTCTATGCAGGTACATTTCTCATTCATCAAGCTACAAACAATGTAAATATTCCCTCAAAGGTACAACAGTGGTTTTAAGGTCCAACTGTGCACCTTAAATAAGTTTTCCCAGTGGAAAGCTAATGTTTTAAAGCAGAGCAATAAAATAAAAAGCCTGGAGATGAGGTGAGGTGTGTGGAGTCAATACAACTATAATTATAATTTTAATAAATGATGGTACAGTTATGTTCCCACTCTAAAGGTACTGAGATGTACCCTTGAGGGTACCACCCCAGTGACAGTCCAGTATTAATTTCATAATTTCTCTTAGAATTAAACCGGCTGTTGTTGTTTCTGTGCCTTCAAGACTGACATATGTAAATTATCCTTGTTCTGATTGGCTGCGCCTCATTCAAAAAGCTGTCTGGTCTGAAACACTCCTTATAACTTCAGTGTGAACGGGCGGAACTAAACTCTGTAGGCTGTTGAGTTTTTTATGGTGTCCCAAAAAACGATGGCTTCAAAATGGGTGGTTTTGCAGCTTTTTTCCTTTTATGGACTGTATGGTGGAGAGTGAGTGGTTTGTTTTAAAACATGAACAGTGTTTACATACTATGTCAAACATGATTATTACAAACACTATTGTTAAAAAAAAGCTATAAACAATTGTCCATGAAATGGGACCTTTAATGACCAAAGAGTACCTGAATAAAAAATAGATATGCTCATTAATATACTTGAGCAAAAGTGAAGATATTATGGTTTGAAAATACTAAGAAAAGGACAAATGAATCAAAAATTTACTTAACTATGCACAAGTGTTAGTAGTTACAGCCGAAGTCCTTATACAACAATTTGTTCACTCAGTGGCCATCTGGGCAGCACCGCTGGGCAGGCATTTCCAGCCATACCATAAGATCAGATGTGAAGGACAAAGTACCATTTCAGAAACATATTTGAAATCACTGATAAAATCTAACATAAATAGTATAAACAGTTTGTAGTAGTTTGACTCCATAACGCACAAAAACTTCATTTTTTGCGTTGTTCTGGCTACTGGCAGCCTAACCAGCAATCTGATTGGAACCTTTTCTTGAATTTTCATTCATTTTTCAGCCAGTGACCCACCTCCTCCTATAGATTGTCTCTATTACAGCCCTCTTCCAGGCATAAATACGATGGATGGTAAACATAATACACATGTCGAGACAACCAGATACGCCAGTTATTACTTATTACAGCTGTCAGCAAAGTGACGTATGACTCCAAAGTGTCTCCACTTCTCCAGCTTGCCAAAAGTCATTTCTCACCTGAGCTGTGTATCAGGCTGAACTGGCAACACACAGTGAATTAAATCACAAAGGATTATGTGGATTAAACTAAACCACAAAGACTTTATTATTTACTCATCTTTGTATACTTTATTTTATCTATCTATCTATTATCTATCTATCTATCTAGTATTAGTATTATTATACTACATTAAGTTACATAGTGTTTATTATAAGCGGTGTAGGACTGTAGAAAGGTTGTCTACCAGTGCAGTGGCAAATGGTGTCCCACAGCTTAACATTCATGAAAATGAACTCAAAATAAGATGTCTTTGTATTTTTATTGTGGTTTTAATGACTTTTAGTCATGAAAAACAGAACCAACTTCACAGATGCTCTGATACAATTCTTGTTTTGTTTGAACTGCTAAAATGCATCAAATTAATTGTCTCCCATCTACACATATATATATATATATATATATATATATATATATATATGTAGATGGGAGACATTTAATTTGATCTCTTTCTCACTCTTTTCGGTCTAAAATAAAATGATGAACCTCAAAGTCAGAGTTGTGACCGATCGCAAGGTAGTACAGATATATATATATATATATATACACACATATAGATAGATAGATTGATAGATAGATAGATAGACAGATAAACATTTTTGTAACAGAATCACAGGTAAAGCCCACTCCTAATGCATATAAAGAAAAAAAAATGTGAATGTCTGTACATTTGTGGTAGACTGACTCAGAAACGTCAATAAGAAAGGTCTGAACATGCTGAAGTATGAGAAACCGACACTTTGTTATTGTTCTTCATAGCTCTCCACATCTCCAGTCTGGAATGAAGGCAACACGCAACTGCCCACGCTTTTAAAAACAAAGGTGCTAAAATGGGTTCTCTAGAGTGACGCCATGAGGAACCACTTTACATTACAGAAACATTACATTTTAAACTTCATTACAGAGATTTTCAATGGATGGTTCTTTAAAGTGTCATTTTTGTAAATGAGACGTGCAATTGTGAAGGACATATGGATGCATATGAATTAATTCTATTAGTTCTCAAGATGAATGCCATCATGATCAGAACAAACAACTAATGATTTTTTTACATTTAATTTTACAATTAATACCCAAAAAAGAAAAGCGAAAAAGGTGTATGACAAAAAAAAGACAAACTAAACATCTTACTTCCCTACGTTTTGATTACAGCAGTACTAAAAGATGTACAATTCTTCTCTTTCTCAGTCTAAAAGAAAATGATAAACCTCAAAGTCAGAGGTGTGACCAACTGCAGAATAGCAGATGCTGTCATCGGCGTAACAGAAATTCACAAAAAAAAGGAAGGAACGTTTGTTAGATTTTTTTCTCTTTTTGTATCATTTTGGTCTAAAATTGAAATGCTAAAGCTCCAAAGTCACAAAGCAGCACAGATGCTGCCACAGAAGAAATCAGCTGGGTTTTATTCTTCTCTTTCTCACTCTTTTTGGTCTAAAATAAAATGATGAACCTCAAAGTCAGAGTTGTGACCGATCGCAAGGTAGTACAGATGCTGTCACCAACATTACATGAATTAAACATAATAAAGGGAGTTTTAGACTCTATTCATCTATTTTTGGATCCTTTTGGTACCAAATAAAATAATAAACCTCTACGTCAGAGGTGCGACCAATCAAAAGTAGTATAGATGCTGTCAACAATGCAACAATTACATATAAAAGAATTTGAAGTTTGTTAAATTACATTTTCAGATGCTTTTGGTCTACAATAAAATAATAAAAGTAAAAGTCAGGGGTGTGACCAAAAGAATGCAGTACAGATCCTGTCACCAGTGTAACTGTGTTACACAAAAAAGTCTGTTACACTCTGTTCTCATTAAAATATGACAATTTACAACAATATAACGAAGCAAAGCAGTACAGATGCTGTCATCAGTGTAACAGAATGAAATTAAGTAGAAATAAAGGAATTAGGATCTAAATGTAAACGACTAAAATGTGACTGAATAAGACGTTAATTCCTTTCCTCACTGATACACTTGAGTAAAAGCAAAAATGTTATCAAATTCATCAAATTTTTTAAGGGACTAGTTCCCACCCATCTCCGCTGGTCTCAGTGAAGATAAGACCATTCTGTTACTGTTAGTCAAGCATTCATCAGAACAGCTCTGATGCAATAACTTCCTCAATCGAGGATTTGCTGATGGTGTGATAGTACACACTCACTGCCGTCCAGCAGAACAGCTTACAACAGAAGAAGCTCAATGAACAAACAGTCGGTATACAAAGCAGTACAGAAAGCAAACAGCCTGCAGCCTCAATCCAGGAAGTAGAGCATTCATATCTCAGTCACTAAGAGAGGAGAAGGGCACGGAAACAGAGACTTTTATAAAGGTGAGTTGAGCTTCAGAGCGGCACTAACTGCAGACTGGAACAGGTGGTGTTGCGCAGTATTACTAGATGTTACTCTGTGTTGTGCAATTCTTTTATTGTAACATAGTTCAGGTGCGGTCATGTTCACCTTCATGTACATGTTGTTGTGATTAAAGCTTGTTGTGATTATGAGCTTCTAGAGCTGCTGGTTAAGTGACAAACGCCAGCCTAAAGGGCAAGGCTTAGTATTGATTGCCATTTGAATAAGTAAAATAGGGCAGGGGCTTCAAACATGGTGTATTAGCTCAGAGATGTGAAACTGCTAGGTTTCCTCTCAGTCTGAGACGGAAGGTGCTGCGGTCACATTCGTGCCAGCTGAGAAAGAGAAGTTACTGTATCTGTGAAATGATCTGTCTGCATATTTTGAGCTATGAGCTGTGGTTTGTTTTTAGATGAGATTTTGCATATTTTTTATGCCACTTTAATGCAACCAATCAAAAATCAATCAGTCAGTCAACTGAACTTGAATTATGCCCAAATGGTAATTAGGTTTCAGGCAGGCATAATACATGAAATAAACACAAGGAACAAAAACACTTCTTACTGAAAATGTTGCAAAATGTCTACCTGTTGCAAAATGACCAGCA